ATCCCCCTAAGAATAGAAGCGTGGTTGCTGAATCACATGGTCGACCCGATAACGATTTATATCGGAAAAAGATGAGCGCGTCTTTGCTGTTTATGTGCACAAATTCCGGCTGCCAGCTGCTGTTCTCGTTAAACATCACATCCGTTGCCACACTTTAGCACAAACACGCACCGATATAGTCACACACGGGCACGAGTCTTGTCACATTTTGAGAACTTGGCAAAGTTCTATAAATGTCAGCTCTTTTACGTTGACAGGAGCTTGAACGGCCCCGTTGGTTTGAAGGCAAACGTGCCTTTTGTAGACGGCGGCTCGCCTTGAAAGGCAGGCGAAGGTGTCGGGGAGAGTCGGCGCTCATGGCAAAGGTGCACGGCAAAAAAGTTTGTTCCCCGCTTGGACCCCCCTGCCGAGGCGTCACTTCCAATGGATGACAGGGAAAATGAATAAATAAAACTCAACAAACCGGAATCAGCAGATGTGTAAGCTCCTGTTCAAAGGTGTAAGGCTCATTAATGGTGTTGCTGTGCACCGTATTTACACAACTAACAGCTCTCACTTTTTTTTCCCTTTGTTGAACAACATCACTCAAAAAAAACCCCACCATTTAATCATTCAAAGCGCTGCCTGTTCGAGTCGAGATGATTTATGTCGCCGGCTTTTCGTGGCAATTCTCAAAGCTGATGACGTGACCCCAAGCTTCAGAAACGCCAGGGAACGCTATGGGCAACGTGCTGTTAGTATTCTGATTCGATATATGCACAAAGATGTACTGCCCTGCATCAATGAGGATGCTTAGCAACCAGCCCGTTTTCTATTCATTTAAATAGAAGATTGTTATAATGTCATGCGCGGCATGTACTTATTCACCCCCCCCCCCCCACCCCCCCTTCTCCTTCTCTTTCTCCTTCTGTCCTTCATCCCTGATGTCTTTTGTTGTTCCTACACTGATGCGTGATGTGTTTTGGCTGCCACGCGTACCTTCTAATCCACATGTATATTTCACTGCCAGCGATGGATTTTTTTCAACCCAACCCCAATAAGCAGAGATATGCGATGGCATCCACATTTGTTATTCTTTGAGCAGTTATGTGCAAGCCTGCATTTCTTTTAGTTTGCATGCATAAATCTGTGTCCCTCCTTGATCGACAGAAAGACAGAGCTGTTAGAGAGGAGCTCTTTTCGCATACCTGCCGTTTGTATATATATTTATATATTTTGTGTATGTGCTTTTGTAGCTGTGTGTGTGTGTATGGGGGGGGGGGTTGTGCACCTGTACAGTTTACAGTGTGTGTGTGTGTGTGTGTGTGTGTGACAGAGAGAGAGTGTTTGGTTGAAGGAGTGCTCGTTGGAGCACGGGTTGTCTCATTGAAAAATGTATTCCGAATCACAGACATGTGGAGGAGTAAATATTTGTCGCCTGGGGACAAACATACATCAGTCATCCGTGCTCCAGATTACACGTGATGGTGGATGGAGTATTTTATTTTTCTTCCCGTGTTCATTGTATTTCTGCTTCTTTCCCTGTGATTGATCACTACCAATGTTAATGTTGTCTGATTCTTATCGAAGGGAACCGAACACAAACAGCCCTCTTGTTCCCTGAATACATACATTACAATCATTATCAAATAAACATACTTAATCGTATAAAAAGCATCAGCGAACCCAAGCACTCCGAACAAAAGCCGGCAGAGCGGTTGTGACAAGATTTCATCTCCGCTTTGTTGTTAATGGCTGCTTAACATGAACAGTTATAATACACTGGATAGTGATTTTAATTGAATTCATTTCAGAGGACATTGTAAGGTGCTGATGGTGTAATAAAACACTTGTTACAGCTGCTGTTCATCACTTTGATATAAATGAAGCCCAGTGGTTGCTCAATGATGCTTTTCTTCGGGGACATGTTAAAAAAAAAAAGTAATTGGCTCCAAAGGGCACGATGTGTTGGGGCCATGAGGGAGAAGCACGAAACACAGAAGGGATTTCTAGGTTATTTTTTCTTCTTGCTGACTCCTCATACTGTGGCGCTTTTACCTGAGTAGATAACAAGCAGTTAAAAAATACATGCTTATTTAGAACAAACATGATAACACAGTACGGGCCACGCTGACACAAGCAAAGGTGAGGATAAGTAGAACGAATGTTGTTACAAAATAAGATTAAAGAGGCAATCTTCTTGGAAGTGATGCATTAAGTGAAATTGAAGCAAAAATATTGAGGATTGACAACAAAAACTGCAACAATCAGATTTTAACCATTTTCACGATTGGGTATTTCTTCTCTAAACATTTAATGTTTTTTTCGCGTCTTCGACTGCATGTCCTCCTGTGGACGTGCTCCGTCCCTGATTTGGGAGTTAACGTGGTCAGCTGGACACATGAGACATGGTGTCTGTGTGCAGCAGGAGATCTGCCCTGGACATCACGTCTCAGCACACAGACAGCTGGTGCACCTTTGGTGTGTGTGTGTGTGTGTGTGTGTGTGTGTGATTGTCAGTGTGTTTTAGGTCAGTTGAATGATAATGAATCGTCTCTCGAGAGGACAGCAGCTGCAAACAAGTATCAGGTCACAACCGGCTGCGTTTCTTTTAATAATCAAAACGCTTCCTCTGGATCCTTTTTACTGATAGTGTTTGATCACCATGTAATGGTTACTGGGCCCTAGCAGAACATTCACCGTGATGTATCAATTCAGCCTTCTTCATTGGCCAAATGATCGGCGCGGGAGACATTTAGCATCCTGTGTTGGATGTTTGTGTGTGTACTCGATGATCTGGCAATGGACCCACATGCATTTGGCAATTAATGGCAGCTTTGGCCAATCGCTTACAGTGGAATCTAATCTAATGCAGGGTCCCATAGTGCTGCTGTATGTCTATTTGATTTGGGCATTGACCCGCAACAAGTCTGTTAAGCGGCTGATACTCCGTGTGCACGCGTGTGTGTGTGTGTGCGCGCACGTTGACTTTGAAGTACACAATAATCTAAGCCAATTTACTACGCATCAGCCCTCCATTAAGGGTTTGATATAAAGCAGTGCGTGACTAGAATGCCCTCCCATAAAAGGACAATTCACTTCTCCCAAAGAAATGACATGTTTAACCTCATTAACCTGAAGTGCATGTACTAAAACGGAAGACTGACTCCTACGCCACACACATACAAACATCATCAAAAGTCGAGAGGTCGGGTTGAATGTGACCCCCTGCAAATGAGCAGCCAGCGGTGAGTTAGCGGCATCAGGAGCTCATCAAGCCGCTCTCAGCACTCGTCTGCGTCTCGGGTGGCTTTCGGTTCTCTTTCTGTTTCAACATCATCTGTCCTCTATGAGGTTATTAACCCGGCAGGTGTGAAGCGAGTCTCGCCCACTGTTTAAGCGAGCGGTTGTCTTGTGTCTGCGAGGACGACTGCGGGTCAGCCCGGCCTGCTAATGGCTGTGGTCACAAAGCTGGAAGCCGGCCCATTAGAAGAAGCCGCCGTCATTAGGACCAACACACTTTCAAACAACCTGACCTACTGGTCCCATGCTGTTTATTAGCAAAGTTTTGGCTCTCTCCGTTAGAGCAATTATACTCAGCATTCATGATGAACTGTGGCCTTTTCCTTCACTCTACGAGACAGAAACACACTCACACTGGCATCGTAAATAATGTCGTCCCGAAGAGTAGCCGCATGATGATGACATTTCTCCCTGCAATGCGTGCAAAAGAAATTGATCGCAGTGCAGGGGGGGGGGGGGGGGGGGGGATGTCAGCAAGTGATGTATGTCGTTCATTGGACACAGAACATTTAGTTTTCATTAAGAGTTAAACATGTACACGAAACGTTAATGGGGTTCAGCGGCAGCAGCAGCAGCAGCAGCAGCATGCTCCACTATCTCATCCCGATGAATTAGCGACTCAGCACACAGGGAGTAAGAGAAATAAGAGAAGAGGCGTTAATTTAATGTGCAGTGGGGGAGGAACCAAGCAGATAATATCTTTATCCAAAGATTGGTGTTTATGACTCAACGTGATATGATCCCGGACCGGCAGCCTGGCCAAGAGAGGCGAGGATGAGAGTGGGGAGCGAGGCCGTTTCATTATGAGAGCTGTGCACCGCCGTCCTGTCCTGCTGCACGGCGAGTGATGGAGAAGGTTGTTAATGCCTGAACTGTCAGCCATGTTTGATTCGGGGCAGAAAATTAATACCACGTTTCTTTTAACAGGGATTTTATTTTTGGATTTACTGGTCTCCCCTGAGTGTCTGCGTTGTAAAGAGGTTATATTCCCTCTTTCCACTCCGCTCTGTGTCCTCTCGCTATACCTCTCAGCGAGCTAATATGTTTAGAGAGAGGAGCGAGGACGTGTGCGCTCTAGGCTCCTGTGTGTCATTCGGCGTTTGTGTTGAGCATCTTTCAGCCAGCCTAAAAGTTTGCTGTAAATCGCAGCAGTGTCCCCTGCGAAGGACAGCGCTTGTATCTCAGCTCAATCTTCCACATCTCCTATAGACAGACTCTACTGCATATAGGGAGCGGGCTTTGAGCTGTCAGTCATCTTTAACCTGCCCTGCCTCTCACCCCGTCTCGCTTATCGCCGCCCGAGTTAGAGGCCTGGTTGAAGAGCTGTAAAGCACAGCGTGAAGTGGCCCAGTCGCTGAGGCGAGATTTATGGCCGCCAGTCCATCAGCGGGGATGTTAAGCGGCTGTGATTAAGAGCCGGAGTGAAGACCCGGGCCAAAAGAACGCACAAGGGCACGGCCCGTCACTGCCGACTCTTCTCCGTACAGTCTCTCTTCTTCACTCCGTCTGTCCATCTGTTTCTGTTTTTAGTTTTTTTTTTGCCCCCCCCCCCTTTCCATCCGTATGCATGAGTTACGATTCACCAAGGACACAGAGTCCGCATTAGATATTTGCCGTCTTCTGCCTTTTGTGACAACTTGAAAACATAAAAGCATTTCCTTTTTTGGCACCCCTTTAAAATCCTCCCCCCCTCCCCCTTTTTCTTTAATTCCCTGAAGGGTCGGAGCACGCCACAGCAACACTTCCCGCCGCCTTTTCTGACCTGTTGCCTCACTTCCTGGTGGAGCCGGAGGACGAGTTCATCGTGAAGAACAAGCCGGTGACGCTGACCTGCCGCTCCAGCCCGGCCACGCAGATCTACTTCAAGTGCAACGGCGAGTGGGTCCACCAGGACGACCACTTGATCGAGCGGACCGTTGACCCAGCTACAGGTGCGTGCAACCACCCCCACCACAGATCTTCTTATAATCCCCCCCCCGCCCCAAATTGAGCGCTTTCTATTTTTGACTGTGAGACATGTGCCGCTCCATAGATGCATTATGCAAAGTGCTTGCATCTGAAAGCAAGGTTTGCAATTTGCCCGTGATTGCTGTGCTCCATCAGGCTCTTGGCTCGTCCTCCAGCCTATTTAGCCTGCCAGTCTCATAATAAGCACATCGGTTTCAGTCTCAGAAATCGCAATCACCTTGGAGACCTGTTTGTTTTTCTCTGCTGTGCCACAGCCCCCCTTACCCTCCCCGCCACGCCTCCTCCATCGGTTTCACAAACATGCATGACACTGATGTGGTGTGATTCAGCAGCAATCTGCAAATTCAAACCGTCCATTTACAGTCTGACAACTGATTGGGAACGAGAAACCCGCAAATGACAGGAACACACGCGCACATATGCTAATGCACCCTCTGATTTGTAGCTCAACATAACAAACGCACACACGGAGAACATTATACGCACAACTGAGAAAGACACACATATTCCAATAGGAAAGTAGGCGTAAATCATGGAATGTCGGGGGATAAACTAACTCTTAAATGTCCAGTTAATCTGACACTTTTTTGGGGTAGGTGATTTCTGATCAAATATTCTCCCGCATTCAAACTTTGAATGTGTGCAGGCCCATTCCTGCACCTTCTCCTTTTTTGCCCAATAAACATGAAGTATGATTTTTAAAATGACAGCTTCGGTACCACGGGGACCTGTAGGCAGGAGGCTGTGTTTCCATGTGTGGATTGGTTTTACCTGGTTTATTTGGCATTAGGCATCAGCCTCAGATCTGAAAATGCCCCCAAACAATATGCATTTGGAGTTAATTGAAGCTCTTGCTTTGTGAATAGAAAGTGAACACAGAAGGCAGCACTTGAGGAAAATTTGAACAATTACCAACCCTCTTCTCCCTCCTGTGTTGTTTCATTAACAGTTATTTCTCAGAGTTTCGCACAGTTCTTTGGGGGAGTGATAGAAATTTAATTAAAAGGATTGCCAATAACAACAATCTTTCTATGTGTTTTGGATAGTGTCTCTTTTAAATTATTAGTCAAAAGTCTACTAGCCACAAGTGTAAAGCCAAGGGTAAATTCAACGCCTCGACAAGCTGAGACATAAAGGACAAGCAAATTGTGGTTATATAACTTTTCTGCTTCCTCCAGTAAATGATTTTCATTAATGTGTTAACGGGTAACCTGGTTTCAGTTATGAGGGGTTTTAGAGATCTGGCTAATCTCGTGTTCATATGTATGCAAGACATGATTCTATCCAAAGTCTGACTGAGACTGAAATCAAAAGAAGTTTTGACTGCTAAACATATTTCCTCTGCGAGGGAAGGTTCCTCTCTGCCTGTCCTTTCCCTTCCCCGTCTGCTCCACGCAGACACACAATCAAAAGAAAAAGAAAAAGAGGCTGCGTCTCAGGGGGAGGCGAGAAATGTGATTACTGACCTGCGGCACAGACTCTGTCCACAATCTCTGATTACCCACGTAACCCGGTTTCCCCGAGTAACCTGTTTACTGAGGTGCGCGTAAACTCACTGATTGTATGATCTACATGTTATTCGTGGCTCCAGACACTTTGACATTGTGGCGTCGGCTGCTTCCCTTGGATACGATGACATGAAATGCCTTTTGTCAGTATGAAGAACTCGCCGTGCCCCATAAACTTTATGGCGACCTCACATTACCAATGCAATGTTAATTTGCCAACATTTAATGATGATGGGCCGTTGGCCTTATGGTTATGAGCCGTTATAGTCAGCATTTATTTGTCTACAAAAGAAATCTGTGGTGCCGGGTGCCACGGACCCCTGCAGGTTCAGATCGGGCTCCGTCTTTGGAGAGCATGTGAAGTTTCCCAAGGCCTCCTAGCCGCTCTTCACGTCATTCTGTGCCCCCCCCCCCACCTCCCCGCCTCCCACCCTTTGATGATGAACGTCATGTATGTGGGGCTGGGCAGCTATGAAGGACAAGTGGTTGTCTAGAATTATGGCTTCTCCAAGGTACCCACATCGATCGCTCAAACATTCGTGCTGTTTAATGTCAGCACCGACCAGAAGAGTTTACTGAGGCTCCTCTAATCCCCCTTCCTACAAGAAACATCTGAGGTGCACACGTGTGTGTGTGTGTGTGTGTGTGTTCGCGTGTATGTGCGTGCCCTTAGTGCAGGCCTGTCAGGCTGTTCTCTCACACTGGCCGTCACAGTCACACCGGACTCTACACTTGTACCTGTTGCCAGGCTACCAGGACTTTTGTCACACCAAAAGCTGCCCGATATCCACATCCTGCCTTGAGAGGACGAACGAGGAGTTTGGAGACTTAACCTAGTTGACAAAAATTGATTTTGACAGTATTTCTACAGTAGCAGTGTAAAATCACCTTCTCAAAATAGCCCATTTCTGCAATAGAGGCTTTGAGAAGTGTCCTACTTGTCTGAGTGGTCATCTCTGTTCATGCTCTTCACTTGGCAGGGTGTTTTTTTTCTTCTCCATTAAATATTGAAATATGTAACGCCATGCACCCATGTGACCACACAAAGCTCCTCATTGACTGGTGGGTTTACTGATAAGGACCATCAATACTTTTGTTATCAGTTAATGTTAATGTTCTCTGTAAAATAATAGAAATAGTAGAAGCATCAAGAGTCAAGAGTCAGTGCAGCAGATGGTTGTCACATTTGCTCTGGTCTTCCTCTTTCTCTGACCCTGATGGATGAGGGCCCTATCAGGAGTGAAGCACACTCGAATCAAAATACATTGTTGTATATGAGCAATCTTACTGAAATGTAAACATCAACACAAAGGAAAAACAGCTTTTTTTTGTATTTCAGAGTTTGTCAAATTGTTTTCAGAAAGGTTCACGAACCTTGAAGCAGCAGGTTTTTCTCATCTAGTAGATCTGCTCTACAACAATCCATTGAACGTGACAAATGAGTCCTAGATTATTTATTTTAATTAATAAATATTTATTTAATCTTAATCTTAAAAAGACCAAAAATCAAAATTTTAAGAATAAAAAATGAAAACATATAATACAACATTCGTAATTAATTTGAAATGCAATTATAAATTTATGATTAATTATTTTAACATTTTTCACATTTTTTGCAGAAAAAAGACTTTCAAATCAACCCCCCAAAAAATAAAATAAATAACTAAGACCTATGATGACGGAGACAAATATATTTAGCCATTTCAAAAATCTGATGGAGCAGCACACACAAATGTAGAAAACATCACATGGAGCAGCGCTCAGACATTTCTCTCCCACTTCAAGATGCTTACAGTAGCAAAGATAACGATGAGTCACCGCGGTGATAACAGGAGCCATAATAGGTCAAATTATACCAAAATGAAAAGAGTTTAAAGTGTTACATGCTCATTTCTATGAATACAAATATGCAATTTGATGATATACTGTAAGATGAACTTATCAATTATATTGTTTTTATCCCTTTTAACATCTGTGTTAAATATTGGTACTTTTTTATTGTTGTTGAATGAGGGCTGATAAAGTAAGAAGATTTGAATTTAAATATAATGGATTAAACAAAAGTACATATGTTTATTTATTGTAACTATTTAACAATATATCTCTTTATTACAAGATAAGCTACAGACAGTATTACCCATAGTTTCCCTACCTCTTCGGGACCTCTTCTAGTTTCCCTCAAAAATTACTGCTCGTAATCTTCGTCAAGGCGACACATCATTCAGTATCTCAGTGTTTACCGGCTTGAGCGTGCACACATGCACTTTAACACGCTAACATGGTAACAACATCCACAGAAGCACTTCATTTTCTGCTCAGAACTACTAAATCTTTATTTCGCTATAGTTGTTTAATACATATTAAAGCCTTAAGCATTGTGTAGAAAATCTTTAATGTCCACGACAATTTTGAAGGGGCCGTTAAAATAAAGTCTGAAAATATAGAAAATCTTAAAGATGCTTACTGAAGAAACCATAAACTTAGAGAGATTTATTTACATACCTAATACTATATTAATGCTACTATATTAATGCAAGAACCTTTAAAAAACCAAACGATTAATAGATCCTCGTGTTCAACGTACGAAAAGCAATAAGAAAATGTGTAACTAGACACATGCCTAAATATAATTCCCTGCTGAGGCAGTCACATGTCTAATGACTTTTGTGCATGTTTTCATCATGAAAAGACCCCGAATGGAAAAATCTCTGATCAAAGCGAACAGAAGCAGACAACAATAATCTATTCCCATCACTTCAACCTTTCCGGGTTGAAGTGATATGGGGACGTGATCACAGTCGAGTCAATCCTATTCATCCACCTCCCGCAGACTCTGACGCACGTCAAAGAAACTGGAAGGGTTTGAGTTAATAACGGACCCGAGTTTGAAGTGCAGACGTGTTCCCCGTCGGCCTGCTCCGTACTTGGGGCTCAGGAGGACGTGTGGCTAAGCGCCTGCAGAGGACGTGACCTCCGGCCTCACCAGACAGGTCTGCTCATTGAAACTGATCCAGTGCAGGATAGACAACGGACAGCTTACCGTGTGCACTGTTCAGTTACAGCTAGTTACTGACCCGCACCCCCCTTTGTACTCTGTGAACACCTCACCACCACCACACACACTAGTATACCTACGCACAGGGCTCACAATAATACACTTACACACTTGTCCCTGCAGCTCATGGAAAGGGGAAGATGATGTTTCAATTTGTCCTTCCTCTCCCGGTATCAATGTCCGATATCGATCCATCCTTGAGTCCATCGGTTCCCATTACCTGTCCTCAGTAACTTATCTCAATTGTTATGGCTGTGGCTGCCTCCCAAGTCCCAGTCGGCTCTGTCTTTACCGGGTCATCCCGCATAGAGCAGGAGAAACGGAGGCGTCTGGCGAGTCCTAATAAAGACATATCCCCTCTGAGCAAATCAATGCTGACAGTGTGTTTGCATAGATTAGG